TTGCTGCCTGTCATAATGACAACAGCCTGCAGCGGGACCGTGTTCAAGTCCAGGAAAGAATAGATGTACGGGTTTCCGTCGTATCCACGGCAGTCGAACAGCCAGTACAGAAGCACAAAGGTGTTGTAGATGATTCCGAAGAGAACGGGGAAAGCCACGTGGCCGAGACGTGACGGGATCCCGCCTGACCATGATCTCTGTGACGGCCATGATGGAGTTCAGGGTGTGGCGCAAGAAGCTGCGGAAACCAAGGGTGACCGGCCAAGGGGACATCCAGTATTCAGCTGACACGAAAAACGAGCTAGCCATGGCGATGTTGTAGATCACCCAGCCGATCTTCAGTGGTGTCTTCGCCGGGCCACCGATGAAATTGCCCCGCTGGTTATCAGAGGCGTGGCGGTAGTCTTGAACGCAGACGGCAGCGGCCCAGTAGAAGTGGAGGGTGAAGACCGTGTACGCCCAGTTGGTGAAGTACGTGAACCACCTGTTGCTGTCCGTGGGGATGCTGTAGATGAGGATACTGAGGGTGAGCAGGGCGCACACCACGCGGTACACCACAAACCTCCGCCGGTTCGCAGACCACTGCAACAGAACACAGTAGTCGTCACTGATGACGCATTCTGAATCGGAATAGACCCGTCCTGACTGACCATCACAATTATCATTCAACCAATAATGTGATAGCAATTGGCGGTCCGACCAGTGAGAGAAATAGCTGTATGTCTTACAAATACTACATGTAGTAGTTGATTTTTGGTTTATTATTTTGCATTTCTACATTTTGACTATTAGATCACGCTACTTGCCATCTGGTGTCACAGCCATCTAGCATAACACCTTGGCATTGGCGTGTCCATCTGGTGTTAGGAGTGACATTCTAGCAAGCTTTACTCTCAAGAATATAACAAACCGTCCATTTTTACCGTCGGTTGAGGGTGTGATTTATTTGATTTAGGAAGAGATGGTAAACTTAACAGAAAAGAAAACACTATGAAGTCCAATTTTGAAACTCTAGCTATACACTCTCAATATAGCTCAGTTCTCACAGCAATACCTAAAAAGGTTTAAAGCTGTTAAGATTTGATAACCCACTCTGTATAACTATTTGCTTGAACACTGATAGTCGTTATGTTACTCATTTGTTATGTTGGTTATTTTGACTGCCTTACCGGTGACGTAACGAACGAGCTGTAGTGGGGCGACTCCATGTTACAACCTTCCCGGCGTCCTCTGCCAGAACTGTGCACATGGAGTAGCGATGTTGTCCGCATTCCTCAAGAGGCTGGCATAGTTACACCGGCTGGAGTAAAATTATGCCGAATCAAAATTTAATTAGAAAAAAAAAAAACATGATTTCTCGAGTCAGATGTCCCTACATCTAACGTTATACGAGCGATCGCCATGACATCACAGCCAGCGAGTGGTAGGCAAAGAGCGTGTTAAGTAAACTAGTGTCTAAAGTTATCATGAGACTGATGAGAGCGCTAGCACAAACTCAGCAGCTCCAAACAAACTCTCAAAATTACGACTGACACACGACAAAATCTTCTGCTGACAGTGTTCTTACGTTCAGTGCCAAAACTATTGTACGAAAGCTGAAGCATATTCCTATATATCATACGACAGTGCATAGGTGTCTTGAAGAGCTTTATATATGGCTCTTGATATCCCACACACTGACACAGTACATGTAGCTCCCTCCCAGGAACATACGACTTTCAAGCACCAAGTCTTTATGTAGAAGAGACTTCTATCTAGACATTAGGACTCAAAAACGTACCGTTCAAAAAAGACCAGTGGCAGCGACGTAGATGGCCGCGCAAGGCGTCTTCAGGTGGAACATTAGCATATAAATGGTCTTTCCGAAAGTATGTTAAATGATTGTTCAGGTGCAACAAATCAGACACAAGACACCCAAGACATTGCAGAAGTCATTTAATGGTTCGATCATTTTGCATTGCGCTTACATTACATTATCTTTTCATCAGGGCTAGATCCAGTGTTTGCTTAGCTAGTTACATAGGCTGATAAATCACTTTGCTTAGACCACATAAACACAGACATACATGTATCTTTGATCCAAGAAAGGTCACATTGCCCTAATTTCATGGATGACATCCTGGGGTACAAGGACTTTTGGCCATTCATGCTTCCTCAATATTAATTTTGATATTGATAAATTTAAAAATCAATGTACTGTGCAAAAAATGAGCAAATGTGTAAAACACAAAACTATACAACCTCCTGAAGAACAAGATTGGAGTTTATTGGAAAACTTGTTTTCAAAACCAAGTACAATTTCCTTTGTCCATTACAAGTCATTCAAGTGTTTGCATTAGGCTCAGGGTGTTAGCAGGATGTCATTCATAAAACCAAGTCAGAGTGGTCTGATGGACCAGGGTTGGACTAGTCCACTTGGACTACAAAGGAAGCCTGTGTTCTACAATCTCTCACTGTCAGGGGCTATGTCAGCCTCCTCCCTGAGAGCTTGTGGGCACACACCAAGCTCAAATTTTACAACTATGCCTCTATGGATCTTACCAACAGGGATGAGCTTTCACTCTGATAAAATCTCTCTTGATCATGTATCTATCGGTTTTGTAATGATTACCTTTACGTGTTACATGTATATCATTGAGAATCTTGTAAATTTTTCCTTGTGCCTTCTTTGAGCTCAGCTGATTTCATGGTGTATCGCCCAAAAGGGGAGGAAATTCCCCTGAAAAATTTAGCGCACTTGAGTTTAGTGACACTCAATGGTATCATTATAGTATCATTGGTATCAATATGGTATCACTATGGTATCATTGCAGGGACAAAATACTTTTTCCTGCATACCAAAAATTACAACCTCCAGACAGGTTTTACTGACACCACTCAGAATTTAAGAAGTATGGATCATACTAAAACGGTTCAGAAACCGTTCTATTTCTTTCATACTTTATACAGGTGACAGTAGATGGTGACAGTCAATAAAAACGTTATACATAAACGTAGACATCAGAAATACCCGCACACAACCTATTTTACCTGCACTAACCTGCAGGGCGCTTAAACTTTTTAATGACATATACATGTATACTATGAATGCTATATAGGTGAAGAGATATGATTCGTCACCTTTAAGTTTGTGAACTTTTTGTGTTGCATGTATTTGCTGTTGTCAATGTTCCTAACTTTATGAAGACATATTTGTAATGAAGACATAATATTCACTGACAGTCAAATGTAACTGTAATGAGAGGCACTTGTTACCTAGTGTGGACACTATGGACCACAGACTAAGTATTGTGTAACAATCCATGCAAACTACACCTACATATACATATACATGTGTACATCCACACACATTAGTGAATGTTGGTTTACACCAAAAATGTATAATATATATACACAGCAGTTGAAGCTTCAAGATGCAGGTAATGACTACCTTATAGATGTGAGATCTTCGATGTTTCGATATGTACAGTCATGAATGTTGTGAGTGGTCTCTATACAAGAACATATTACCGGTGTTGTATGTAATTACAGGTAGGTATTATCTGTAACTGACAAAAGATAGTGGATGCTACCTAAAACGTCTGACCATTTTCAAAATCATATCCAGTTGGTTGAGTCACTGTTTTTTGGCATATCTTATTACCTGGATGTCCATCTATTAAACCTTCATTGACGTACAGGTATTATAACTGTGGATGGCAATGATTATCTGCCTTGTGATGGCCTACCAAACAATGTGTTGATTTGAAGACATCTTCATGCTTGTCAAGTTATTGCAGGACATTGTCTAACATGTCTGTGCTTCGACATGCTTCCTGTCCATGACAGACACTATACAGTGTCCTAGCTTGTGTCCTGTATCAAGGCCACACCAAGTTAATTTCTTGGTCCTCAGATTTGCCAAATAAAATGACCACACATACAATTTTGGCCCCGACAGTTGTAGAATGTCCTTGTCCTCCTGGTTGTATATCAATGGTATGCATTCCTATGGCTTTGGTGTGCTGGAGTGTATGGTAATGCTGCACTAATGCAGTTGATAGCTAGGGGTCGCTTTTGATCCATGCATGGCGTACCTTATACTGACAGTATTGTTTTGGGTGGCTCAGCCTTGGTTCTGTGTGCTGTTTGTCCAGATTAGATCACGGTGATTAGATTGACAGCACTTGGGTAGAGGATTGACAGGTAGAATGACAGGTCAAAAGGTTATACATAGGAAATGTCTCTGGGAGCAAGCAGGAGATACAGGCAATTCAGGAAGCCGAGGACTGCACGAGGGACCCGCCAATACTTACAGGGAGCCTTAAACCTGTGATTTCTTGTTGTCTGAAGTACAACATGTACTGCCCAGCGTGGTGTGGTGACATTGGGACAAATCACAGAATGTCCAAGCATGTTTTATTATCATTTTCAAATTTCCCACTCATTCCATATTTTCCTGCAGATCTTCAAGAACCATGAAAATAAATTGGTGTGGCCAGTTACATATGTATTTAATTTGGGCTCATCATGTATATGTACAGTTATTGAAAGGGTTAAAATATAACCAACATTGGTACAATCCTACATTGCAATTCAAGGTTAACTCCGAAACCCTTTTAATAGTGAATATCTAATTTTGGCTTGGTGTCGTATGGTTGTGACGAAGAAACCTTTTACCCAATTATCACCTAGTCTTATAACTTTTGTCCTTGGAGATTTGATGATTTGTAAACAGACTTATAACTCAAT